ACATGATAAGTGAGGAGTAGGTGTATATCTTTTAATCTTCACAGTAACCCTTTGTGAGTAGGTGCTATTGTCCTTGTTTTAAAGATGAGGATGTGGAGGCTCCGCTTAGTAGTTTACAATTGGCAAAGTCATTGTTTGAACCCAGGTCATCCACACTCCAAAGGCACATATGTTAGCCCACACTTCCAGGCAGTGAAGCTTATCTGTATAAGCTCCAAATTTTTGTATTTTCACTAATTTGGATAGAGAGTTTTCAGAAGTATGACTCACTTCATTGCTTATGGACACGAATTGAAATGTCACTTACTGTGTTATGAAGGCTCAGTATTATTGAAGTTCCAGTGCTTTGTCTGGACTTTAATGCAGATGAAGGTAGAGAAAAGTTACAGACCTGCTGCCTGCTAGTGGTTACACTTTGGACTGCAAACCGCAAGTTCAGCAGTTTAATTCCTCTAGCTGCTCTGTGGAAGAAAGATGAGGCTTTCTGCTCCTGTAAAGATTTATAGCCTTGAAAACCCTGTACAGGAGTCCTCCGCTGAGTTGGAACCGACTCAGCAACATGCAACAGCATCAGCGGCTGTGGTTGGCCTCAGACTATTGTATACTTTAGCCTTTCACTGGGTATTTATGCACTGTGCATTCTCTTTTTTTCTGTCAGCTACCACATCTTACAAGGAACTCTGGTAGCGTAGTGGTTACGAATCGGGCTGCGAACCTTAAAGTCAGCAGTTCGAAACTACCAGCTGTTCCACGGGAGAAAGATGAGGCTTTCTGCTCGCGTAAAGATTTACAGCCTCGGAAACCCTGTACGGGGTTGCTGTGAGTCAGAAGTGACTCCACGGCACATAACCACCAACCACCACCACATCTTATGAGTGTGTCCTGGTGTAGGGCTGTAGGATAAGCACCAGACTACTAACCCCAAGGTCAGTGGTTCAAGCCCACCAACAGCTTCTCGGTTATGGTCTCTGTAAGTTGAAATTGATTTGACAGCACCTCACAACAACAACAACAAACTACGTCTTATTATAGTGTTTCTGCTCTGACAGCGTCCCCAATCCCTTCTAATTAGCTGTGGGCTGGGTAGCCAGAAAGCAAGTTTATTAGACTTATGTGTAGAATTTAAGTAAGAAGTTTCTGAAACCAGGCCTGTCCAGGAACGGAATATCCAGGATTACATCTATTCTTCATTTTCTCACTATTGTTATCCAACGTTACGCATTTGTGGCAATAGCAAAATATCTGCTGGACTGCTAACTGCAAGGTCAGCAGTTCAAACCCACTGACTGCTATGTGTGAGAAAGATGAGGCTGGCTGTTTTTGTAAAGATTTACAGCCTTGGAAACTTTATATAGGGTCAGTAGGAGTCAGAATTGACTCGATGCAGTGGGTTTAGGGTTTATTATTATTATAACTATTACCGTTAGTATCATTATATTAATGTTGTTAAGTGCTTTCGAGTCAGTTCTGATTCACAGCGATCCTATATATAGGGATTCCAAGGAGCAGCTGGTAGATTTGAACTGCTGACCTTGTTGTTTGCAGTCCAGTGCTGATTCTACATTACCACACCAGGAGTCCTTATACTTATAATTGTTGTTGTTGTTAAGCGTCAGTTCTGACCCATAGCGACCCTGTATAGGGTTTCCGAGGAGCAGCTTGTGAGCTTGAACCATTGACCTAACAGTTCAAACGGCTTTGCAGTCTGGCGCATTAACCCACAGCACCACACCAGCACTCTTATACTAATAATAGGACCTTATTATCCTCTCCTTTTGGGGCCTTAGCTGAATTGTATATAGGTCTGCTACTTTGGAGGAGAGGATGCTGATTTTGGCTTCAGACGTACTGAAATTATGTGTCAGTGAGGCAGCTCTGTAGATGTTTCTAAAATCAGAACTGTGCTGACCAGATTGGTAGCCTCCTGGGACTGTTGAGCACTTGAACTGTGGCTAGTCCAAACTGAGATGTGCTGTAATGTAACATACACATCGGATTTCAAAGACAGTATAAAACCCAAATCTCTTTTATTAATAATGTGTTAATGTTGATTACCTGTTGAAATGACAATGATTGGATTTATGAAGTTGAATAAGTACATTATTAAAATTGATTTCATTAATTTTTTTTTTAATGTGGTTTCTAGAAAGCTAAAAATCTCACAGGTAATGGGCACACATGATACTGTTACTGAACATCCTGGAGGGAGACTGAGTAGGATTTGCGGGTTTGTGTGTCTTTAGAATAGATGTAGGAATTAAGAACCATCTATGCATACGGGGTAGGTTTGAAACAGAAGGTTGGTGGTTCAGATTCGCCAGCTGCTCCTCAAAACCTATCCTGGTCTCTGTGAGTCCAAACTGACTCAACGACTTTTAACAACAACAGTGAACATGGGGGGGACAGGGGAAAGCAGTCTGAATTACAAGGGGGAAAAAAAGTTGTGGAAAACAGAACTAAGAGATGACGGAATCTAACCACGACCTTTCTGAAGCCCCCTCATACGTATTAGAAGCTCCACAATTGTCATTAAATCCAAAGAATTAATGAAAGAAAGACAACAAGGAAAAATAATAGTGGTAGAGTGGAGGAAGGCCAAGAGAAAGCAGTGTGGTGGCAGTTAGTTTTCATGAACAGAATCAGTACTGTTAGAAACTACAAGGACGCAGCTAGGGGTAGATGTATCGGGAGGCATCAGTAGTAACTCAGTGGTAAAATCGGTACATCCCACACAAGAGACCTGAGTTCCACCCTCAGCCAATGTGTCTCTTGCACAACCACCTCACAACAGCCAGTGGAGGCTGTGGTGTTCCTAGGATGCTGAACAGGCTTCCCTGGAGCTTCCAGACTAAAATGGGCTAGAATGAAAGTCATCCAGTGAAAACCCATGGATCACAGTGATCTGATCTGTGCTGTTGTGCACAAGGTTGCCATGAGTTGGGGGTCCAATTCAATGGCAGCTTATAACAACACAAAGATGCATTTGCTAACAGAGACATCAAGGTTCTCTGCTCCTCTTCCCTCTTGTTAGGATCAAGGTTAGTGTTCTGAGGCCCCTTTGTTAAGCCCAAGCCTTGTTATTATTGTCAAGTGCCATCCCGTTGGTCCTGATTCATAGTGACCGTGTATAGGGTTTCTGAAGAGCAGCTGGTGGGTTTGAGCTGCCAACCTTGTGGTTCGCAGTTCAGTGCTGATCCTACAGCGCCACACCATAAGACCAGAGCCTTACCAGCAATGAAACAAACCCATTCCCTCCCCTTGAGGCAATTCCACTCACAGTGACTGTGTAGGACAGAGTCGAGAACTCCCCCATAGAGTTTCCAAGGCTGGAATCTTTATAAGGGCAGACAGTCACATTTTTCTCCCTCGAAATGACTGGTGGGTTGAACCTTTGACTTTTTTACTGCCAGTCAAGTGCTTAACCACTGTCCCACTAGGGCTCCTTATGTTGGCAAAAAACATATAATTTCTCCCATAAAATTAGTATTTGGGACACTTAGCTGGACATCAGTCTTAAATCCTATAGAATTCAGGTATGATGTCCCCTACCACAGACCATTGGCTTGTCACTCTTGAAGGGCTAATGCAGTGACTGTTCAGTCATCATCTTCCAAGGCTTCCTGACTCAGTCCTCCAGTTGTCCTATTGTTCTCTTGTCTCCCTGCAAGTACTTAGCAGAAGTAGTCTATCCTTGTTGACCTGAGAAGATGGCTGTCTAGAGTGTTATGTGCACAGATAGCAGGTCGATGATGACTTTACTCTAGAACGTCTGCTCTACAAGGGTCAGAGATGGTGACCCTCTAGTTCAACACCATCTCGTGGGTACATGGCACATCCCAACCAGTTGGTGTTAATTTAACTCTGACTCACAGTGACCCCATGTGTGTCACAGTAAACTGTGATCTGGAGGGTTTTCGATGGCTGAGTGTCTTGGAAGTCAAACCTTTCTTCTGAGGTACTGCTGGTTGAACCTCCAACCTTCTGGTTAGCAGCAACCACATTAACCCAGCACATTAGAAACCCAAAGCCCACTGCTGCAGAGTTGAATACAACTCATAGCAACCCTGTATGGAGTTTCCAAGAGTGTCAATCTTTACAGGAACAAACAACCTCATCTTTCTCCCCATGGAGCAGCTGGAGGAGTTGAACTACCAACCTTGTGGCTAGTAGTCCAACACCGATCCCACCGTGCCAAATGGGCTCCTCAACCTAGCACATAGCAAGTGTACAATAATTGTGTGTTGAATGAATGCCTGTAGTGCCTGGACACACTTTGGAGAGCACAGGATTTCATTTGTTGTTTTGTTAGCTGGATGTAAATAGAAAAAGTGTGTTCACATTGTTTATAGAATGACTCTTTTTTAGTTTGTTTCTGTGCTGAGTTAGCAGTTTTATTTCAGTTGATCTAGCTAAGACTGACTTTTTCAGTTCTATTCATCTTGTGTCTTTGAGGCAGCTCCCGAGAGAATGACTCGTATGTGAAAAATCAAGGGATTGAAAAATTACGGTGGAAGGGATAAGTCTAACACACAACATAGCAGATTGAGTTTCATGCGATGTTCCTGGGTGGTCCAGATGATTAAGATGTAGCTGCTAATCTAAAGGTGAACAGTTCAAGTACACCAAGAAGCACCTTGAATAAAGGCCTGGTGATCATGTCTGAGAAATCACTCCTTGAGAACCTTTTGAAGTACTATACTATCCTGACACACATGGGGTTGCATGAGTTAAGGTTGACTCGATGGCAACTAGTTTGGTTCTTTTTGGTTTGGGGTTCACTTGGTTGAGGGGAGCTATCTTTAATATCCCGTCACAAGTGGTGTGTAGGAAAATCTGAATAGAAGTAAAGTTAATTATACTTTTTTCTCTGTTTTCATTCTTTAGATTCACCAAAGCCACCAGTCGCTCCCAAGCCAAAGACTCCCTGTCCCCTTATACCACTGACGGCACCCAAATCCCCTTCATCACCCCAACCTGACAGTCTTCACAGTCCAAACTCTATGTTCAGGGGACCGAAGCCCCCCATCGCCCCTAAGCCCAGGCTGGATGCCCCCCACGAGTGGCGAGCCAGCGTCTACATAAACAACAGCTTAAACAAATGTAGCAATGGGAAGCTGCTCTGTGTGGACAGCGGGCTTGACACGGAGCAGCGGTCCAACCTGGAGTGCTCTGAGTCAGAGGCGGACGAGGACTACATTGTGATCCCCAAGGCGTCCCTGAGAGAGGACAAGCCCCCAGATGAGGGCTGTGCCGAGAATGAGGTCTTGATGTCCCCAGGGGCTCCTGGGGACGAGGAAGTTGAGGAGGAGCGAGGGGCCGAGTGCACTGTGGAGGGGACAGGAACCGGAGAGGACAGGACACTGAGTACAGACAGTGATGGAGGCGTGGACCAGGCTACTGAGAACATGGCCAGGGAGGAGGACTGTGAAGAGGCTGAGGAGAGGGCGCTCAGACAGGAGGAAGAGAAGCCAGTAGAAGAACACAATGAGTACAGCCAGGAAGACCAGGGACCTTGGGACAGAGAGGAGGTCTTCCAGAGTGATATCGTCCTGACCCAAGTTGAACTAGAGGATCCAGCAGCCCCAGGTGAGGGATCTACACCCCCTGATATGCCCTTGGAGGTGGAAGAAGACAGTGAGAAAGATAGCGTCACTGTGGAACCAGGAGGCCCGGATGAGCAAGTGGACTGCCACAGCCCCATTGAGGCGGAGAGTGCGGCGGCCAGCAGTGAGCCCACAGAGCAGGAGGACTTGGCCTCAGAGGTCCTGGAGTCAGATGAGACTGTAGAAAACCTGGAAGTCGCTGGGGAGCTGGGTGAAGATTCCACAGTGGAAGGTGGCCTGGCTGATGATATCCCTCCTGACCCAGATGAAAGCATGGGCCAGGAGGTGGATGAAGAACCTCAGGGAGGCGGGGGCCCCACAGAGGATGAACCTGCCGAGGAGAGCTACCAGATCATTCCATTTGAGAACGACAGCATTGACAGTTTCATGACATCCCTTACAGGGAGTCCCTATGAGTTCTTCCCAACTGAGAGCACCTCTTTTTGTAGCGAAAGCTATTCACCTTTTCCCAAATCAGCAGAAGGCTTAGAATCAGAGCAGGAGTCAAAGGTAGAGTGGTGTGCACCTGGGGACCCAGAGGCCAGGACTGAGTGTGGCCAGCGTGACCCTGTGGAGAGCCCTGCCTGTGAGGGTCCCTCTGTCCCTGAGGTGGAAGACCTTCCAGAGGACAACCTGGACAAGGATACTGTGGACGACTCCCTCACCAACCCCTATGTGATTGGTGTCGGCCTTGCGTGCTGGGCTGGCCAGTGTGAGATGCAGACAGGGGCCAACGCTCTGAGTGGTTATGGCACGAGGGAAGACGCGAGCTCTGATGTGGAAGGCAACCTGCTCTCCATCGACAGGAAAAACCTCGTCACAAGAGTCCGGCCCCACTCTGGCAAGGTGGCGGGCTACGTGCCAGAAACTGTCCCAGAAGAAAGTGGACCAGAAGCTGGTTCAGCGGCCGTTGGCAGCAGAGGTACCATTGTAGAAACAAAAAAGACAGGTTCATCCTTGGAGGGGAAGCTTCCAGAAGCTACCAGCAGGGCCCTGCCAGCCAAGCCCAGAGCCTTTACTCTGTACCCACGATCGTTCTCTGTGGAAGGCCGAGAGATTCCATTTTCACTGTTCCATGAGGCAGACGGATATGGGTTAGATGACCCTCGGATAAAAAGAGAGGACAACCTTTCTCTGCCCTGTATGATCGGCTCTTCAGGAAGCTTCTCTCAGAGAAACCACTTGCCTTCCAGTGGCACGTCCACACCGTCATCTGTGGTGGACATCCCACCCCCCTTTGATCTGGCCTGCATCACCAAGAAGCCCATCACAAAGAGTTCGCCCTCACTCCTGACAGAGAGCCACTCCCCAGACCCACCCACCAAAAAGAAGAAGTCCTCCTTTAAGCAGTTCTTGGCGCTGACATTCAAGAAGAAGGTGGAGAGCAAGGTGCACGTGGAGGTGAATGTGTCCTCCTCCCGGTCCTCCTCAGAGTCCAGCTACCATGGGCCTGCCCGGCTCCTGGACATGGAGCGGAGAAGCCTCAGTAACTCACCTCAGCTCAAGTCTCGGACGGGGAAGCTCCGCGCTTCTGAGTCCCCCTCCTCCCTCATCTTCTACAGGGATGCCAAGAGGAGAGGTGTCCCCTTCAGCAGGACAGTGTCCAGAGTGGAGTCCTTCGAAGACCGTTCCCGGCCTCCCTTCCTGCCCTTGCCACTGACCAAGCCACGGTCCATCTCCTTTCCCAATGCGGACACTTCAGATTATGAGAACATTCCAGCTATGAACTCGGATTATGAAAATATCCAGATTCCTCCGCGAAGGCCTGCAAGGGCTGGGACTTTCACGAAGCTCTTTGAAGATCAGAGCAGAGCCCTGTCCACAGCGAATGAGAATGATGGTTATGTGGATATGAGCAGTTTCAATGCCTTTGAGAGCAAGCAGCAGAGTGCAGACCAGGACACAGAAAGGTACCGTAAACTTGTCTTTCCTTCTTTGTTTGGGAGGCAGCTGAAGTGTCTGCTACAGAATGGACTTGCCTTTGAGTCTGTTGTTTTGTTTCCTTCTAGCCATGTGGCTTGGGGTTCGTGGCTTCTCTGAACCTCAGTTACTTCAGCTGTGAAATGGGACTATGCTGGAGAAGTTCAGAGTAGATAATCTAAATGGAACTGTTGTGTGGAATTCGGGTGTGTGGAATTCGGGTTTACAAACGTGAGCGTTTGTATTTACATTCCTTGGGGCTGTGGGGCATTTCTTCTGCTAGTGCCTAAATTCTGTTACTGGCCTCTAGGAAAGTCACCAAGACAGAAGGTTCTGGAGTTTTGCCAGAATCAATCTCTTTTACCATCAGCAAAGTACCTTAAATTGAGATAAATCCTTTTTACTATGTAAATATACACTGTATTCAACAAGGAACTAGAAAAACAATTTAAATTGTGAATTGTGTTAAGAGCTAATGGTGCCCTGAGCTTAATTTCTGAATCAGGTCTTTAAGAAGTGTAGCCAAGCTAATTTTTTTTTTTTTTTTTTTTTTGCGGGGGTAAGGGGGTGAGGGACAGATCCACTTTGGAAGTAAGAGTGAAACACTTATTTTCATTGGGGGTGGGGGTGTTTTTGACCTCACCTTTCCAAGACTGACTGAATGCACTTAATGGTCATCCCAAGTGAGTACTTGCCAAATCTTCTGTTACTTGTATATTGTGGATGCAACTTAAAGGTGGTTCAGTTAAATCTCATTCATTTACATTTTTCTGAGATTTCCGAGCTAGATGGAGAACAAAAATGTTATGATTCTATGTGTGTGTGTGTGGATTGATAGGTAGGTAGGTAGAGAGATAGATAGATAGATTTCTTTAATGTGCAGTGACTTAAACCAATCCTGCACAGCTGTTGCTGCTAGAAATTCCTAGCAGATCTGCAATAATGAATAGGTGGTGGTAGTGGTGATGTGCCGTGGAGTCGGTTCCAACTCATAGCGACCCTGTACAGGGTTTCCGAGGCTGTAAATCTTTACCAGAGCAGAAGCATTCACTATATTGCTGAAGTACAGAATGCTAGGAAGTGTCTGGATGGTGTCTTCTCTTGAGTATTTTAAGTTTCCCACCCTACCTCAAGTCTGAGTGAGGCTATTCATTAGGTTTTTTTCTAGTATTAAAGGGTTTGTTTGCCAAGAAAGGTAACCACCAACCCCGCCTGAGGGGCAGAGTATAATTGGAAAAGGTGGACACGTGGAGCTAGCAGAGTGTCAGATTGCCAGAGCCAACCAGTGCATCCTGTTAATAGTTAGCAGCAGGGCTTGACAAGGCCAGCCCATAGCCTAGTGCCTCCCAGCATTAATAAAAGCAGAACCAAGCTTTCACACCGTCAATTTTCCATGCTTGTTGGGACATCAAGCTTCCCAGTGGTCATCCAGTCTACACTGGAATTCCTCCCACCACTGGGACACACTTGACCGCCTGGAGTAGCTACTCGGATGATGCGGAAGTTTTTCTCTCTGGTTGAGGCAAACACTCACACTGTCCAGCAGGGCTAGTGAACTCATTTCCTCTTCTGTGTGGCAGCAGCCACTTCCATAGAATCACTGAATTTTAGACCTGGAAGGCTTCTCAGATTTCATCCAGTCCTGTTCCAGAGCACGATACAGAGAGGGCAAGAGGCTTGCCTATGGTCTTCCAGCAAGTTAAAGGAGAAATCTCTGCTAGGATTTGGACTTCCTAACTCCTGGCTCAGTAATTTGCAGTGAGAAATGTCAGGCTTTACACTATAGGACCCCTACAGCACTTTAGGGCCCTGGGGACACCTATCACCTTTCAGTTTGTGAAGGGCTGCTTGGCTGTCTGGAAGGGCTCTGGGTTCCTTTATCTGTACTCACCCAAAGCACAAGCAAGTTCCCTTCGCTGAGACGAGCATGACAATGCGAACGGTTGCGCTATAGTAACTGTGTGGTGCTCAGGCTCAGTGCTAGGGCCTTTCCCTGAATCACCTCACGGTCAATGCTATAGTCTTGGTTGAATGACTTCAAGTGTCAGGCTCTGAATTTCAGAAGCACCATGGGCCCTACTCTGGAGCCGTGTCACAAAAGGCCAGACTGACAGGGCTAAATGTCCCATGCAGGAATCGCATCCTTTTGGAGTCAGCAAGCAAAGCTTTCTTCTGCTTTCGTACATGCGACAGTTGGAAGCAAAGGGGGAGGAAAATCCCCTCAAGGGGCTGGAACAGGTCTGGTCAAGGGAGGTTTCAGACACGTCAAGTTGAGAGGTATGAATGACAGCCAGTGGTACCCCCACTTCTGCACTTTCAGCATAGAAGGTGCTGCTGGTTTGAGACATGTCCACAGGGATCCTCAGGGTCAGATGGGCTGAGAGGGCCGGGAGGTAGTTCCTTCCTCCTTCCGCTACTGACCCTGCCCCATACCTTGCTTTAGGATCTGAGGCAGAAGCCAAAATAAATACAGACAGCCCTGAAAGAGCACAAGATAGCGCACTGGAAGATGTGAGGCCAGAGTCTGTTCAAGAACTTACCATGGGCCCTAGGGAATGGCTGGCCATGGTTTCTTCATGCCTAAACTGAACAGGTCTTTATTCCTCCACCATTAGCCTCTCTGGCATCACCTTTACCACCTATACTGCCTGCTCTGATGTGTACTTACTCATTCTTATTCTTGCAATTAATCCATGTTGTTGTTGTTGTTGTTATGTGCCATGGAGTCGGTTCCGACCCTGTACAGAGTTTCCAAGGCTGTAAATCTTTACAGGAGCAGAAAGCCTCATCTTTCTCCTGCGGATCAGCTGGTAGTTTCAAACTGCTGACCTTGGCAGTTCGCAACCCGATTCATAACCACTACGCCACCAGCGCTCCTTAATTAATCCATATTGCTTACTTAATGAAAGATGTTTAGATAAGAAACTTTATATACAACTATTGATAAGTGGAAAATCAGTATCTGCTACCATAAAAGGCAATTGAAAAATAAGACACAAAGAAAAAGAAAATATCACTAGTAATGTCTAGGTTGAGTTTATTACTTGCCAAGGTGTTGAGCTGGGGAGCCTGGCCTCTTTGTTAAACAGGGAGATGAGCAGAACTTCAGAGGGGTCAGAGCCATCTTGGTCCCACATGGAGACTTTCAGCTTGACATAATCAGAAGGATAAAAAGAGGCTTGAGAAGGGTGTGATTCAGTGTTACTGAGAGCCAAGTCCTTTTTCCACTAAAAGGACTTCCTGTTAAGAAATACAGAATCAAAAAAGAAGGAAGGAAAATGTCAACTGTATTCTAGAATTCAACAAGTTCTATGAGACCCCGAAATCAGTGAGCAGTAGCTCAGGGTCTAATGTTATTGTTGTTGCTAGGTGTCACTGGGTTGGTTCTGACTCATAGTGACCTTATGAACAACAGAACGAAACACTGCCCTGTCCTCTGTCACCCTCACAATTGTTGCTACACTTGAGCCCATTCCTGCTGTTACTGTGCCAATCCATCTCCTTGGGGGTCTTCTTTTTCTTCACTGATCCTTCATTTTACTGAGCATAATGTCCTTCTCCAGGGACTGGTCCCTCCTGACAACATGTCCAAAGTATGAGAGATGAAGTCTGGCCATCCTGGCTTCTGAGGAGTACTCTGGCTGTACTTCTTCCATCACAGCTTTATTTGTTTTTCTGGTAGTCCGTGGTACATTTAAATATTCTCTCCAGCACCGTAACTCAAATGCATCGGTTTTTCTCCAATCTTCTTTATTCAGTGTCCAGCTTTTACATGCATAAGGGTCTAATGAGCGAGGGTAAAAAGGCTCTTCTATGTAGTTACCTCTTTGAGGCTTTTTAGTAGCTATAATAATCTTCTTATTAGCTACTTTCTATGTTATAAAATAAAATTACTTAAATTGTTATGTGTTCAGGTTTTCAGTGGTATACAGTGAAAGGTTTTGTTCTCCTTTCCTGTAAAACATACCCTTCAGAGCATTCTTTTGTTCCAGACTTTCATGCAAAAGAGGGAGAAATGTCAACAGTTGTCTCGCATCTAGTCCGATACTTTACTTTTCAAATAGTGTGCTTCGTGACCTCCGTCATTCACACTCTCAGTAGGTCACACACTTAGTGGGTCAGTCACACTCTTTATGGGTCATGCCGTCAGTGATCTTGAGTGGTTCACACCATCAGTGATGTTTAGTGGGTCACACCGTCAGTGATGTTTATTTCTGAGTCTCTACTACACCTCAGTGTAGTGGTTGTCCACTAGAACTTCATAAATACATGTTGAAGAACTGATGATTTTAAACTTCACAAGGAGGAAAGAGCCATCCTTTATTAAGTACCTATTTTAGGCAGCAGTTTCAGGTGCTTTGCATATACTTATTAAATTAAAGTCACTTCACCAACAGTCTTGCCCAAAGTGTCTCGTTAAACGTATGTTTGTTTTGTTTGTTTTAACATGATAAGGAAGCTACTGTAGTATTGTATGGGGGTGGGAGTGAATAAAGAAGTATTGCTACTACAACTCCAATTCATACGTGCTTGGGTTTATTCCAAACAAAACGTGTTTAAAAAATATCTCTGTGATCAGTGTACGGCTGCAGATAAATTCCCTCAGTAATACATTTGTCTTAGTCTTATTGTTGTTGTTAAGTGCCGCCTAGTTCATTCTGACCCATGGTGACTGCGTATAGGGTTTCCAAGGAGCAGCTGGTGATCTTGAACCACCGACCTTGCAGTTCAAATGACTTTGCAGTGCAGCGCATTAACCCACAGTGCCACATCGGGACTCCTAGTCTTCAAAAAATGTCCAGTGAACACAGTGGGTGTTCTTCCAAGGGATCTGCGAGGCCAGTTCAATTTAAGGCAGAGAGGTTAACTGAGAATGTGTCGGGGGCTGTCTGAGGGGATTCCAAAGTGGGAATGGAGTGGTGTGGTTAATGCGCTGCATGCAGAGTCAGTTGGAACCGCAAGGTTGTTGGATCAAACTCGCCAACTTCTC